CCCCAAAACCCCAAAACCCCATTAGTTATGATCTAGTTATGATCTGTTGAATAAAAAAATATTTATCATTAATACATGCTAAATATATTAAAAACTATCAAATAATTAAGTTCCTTTATATATCTTAAACTATTAAAACATTACTTGGGTTATTAATTAACAATTAATGAAAAAATCTCAATCAGTTAATTAAAGCTTCAACCGAAAGAAATCGACTAAGACTGTGAGAGACTACGACTTTGATCCTGTAGGGGAGCTTCGTTATGAATTCAACAATGAAAAGCAAATTGAATATTTGAATAAAAGTTCGTATGCAGAGTAATTTTTCAGAAAAATGTTGAAAACTCTGGATAAAGATCATGAGAAGTTCAAAAAGAGTTTGGAAACAGGAGATGGATCAAAGTAACTGATAGAATCTAAATATAGTAAAAACTACAGTGATCTCTTCTACCCCTACAAAGTATTCTCAAAAGATGAATTAAAATTAGAACATGGTAAATAAATCATGGATTGATCAGAGATTGGTTTAGGTGATGGAGGTTCAACCAAGAGAAGAAGCAAGGATAGATATGCTGGAAATAACTTTCTGCATGTTAATTAAACATAAAGTAAAGTTGATTCTGGAATAAGTACTATCGAGTAAATTGACAAAATTAAAAAGAAAAAAGACTACGAATAGTAAATAATTAAGGAGTATAGACATTCCAAGACTCAAAGACACTCGAGAAGGCAAAGCGTAAATTTACTTCCACCTATAAACGTTTAGATTGTCAATGACGAAAAACTAAACAATGATAGATTTAATCATGAAGGTGAAGATATTAATTAAATCGGCAGAAAAGTAAGCAAAGATTTTAATAGAGTGTAATATGATAACCTCGATACATTGGAAAAGATGCGATAGACAATTGTGTAAAGAGTAAAGAATAAAAACATGGAGTACTAATAAGATGAAACAAATGGAAAAGCCAATGAATGTTTACAATCAATACGAAAGTACGATTAATCTATGCAAAATCTTAATCATGAGCTTGGCAGAAGACTTTCAAAGCAAGAGATTATTTTATCTAAGATTAAAAGCTAAGCTTCAAGTTTTCAAAATCAAATTTCAAAGTAGTAGACAGGCAAGAATCTATCAATGGCGAAATCTTCATTATTCGATAACAAAGCAATGCAAGAAAATTCTACATTAAATGAAGATAATTCTTAAATAGATAAGAAAAGCATTATTAAACAGATAAAATCCTACAGAGATATGTAAAATGAACTTAAAAATATAAATGAAATCTCAGCAAACTAATCATCTAATCTTAATAAATCACTTGACAAGAAATGGTAGTTTTCATAGACTCAACCTTAGTTCAATTTTAAAAGGATATCGAATCAACTCCAGAAAAATAATGAGCTGAAAGAAAATCTTAATCATATAATTAAGCAACTTAACAAAAAATAAGATAATATAGTCATTTCATAACTTAATAAAAGTCCCTACTAAAAACAATATACAAAAGGATTACTCAACCAAAAGTTGTAGGCTGATTAAAAGTAACAGTAAATTGAAAAAGAGATAAAATTATTTTCAAAGCAGAATAGGCTTGAAGATACGGTAAATTAGATTATCAAAAGTTAAAGTAAAATCTCCCGTAAGAATGGCGGCAGTGGATTCCTTGAAAGTAAGAGAACAATCAAAAGACCACTTAGAAATAAATCTGCACTCGGGGAAAGAGATTAACCTAATATCGATTAAGCTTAGGAATAGTGAAGAAATAATTAAACTCCAACTAGAGTATAATCAGCTAGAGTTCAGTTTAGAGATGATAACCTAGTAACAATGCTTGAGTACTCTAGAGACTCTTTCTGTACCGATGAAAGCATAAGTGACAGTGGGAAAAAATAGAAATCACCAAAGAAAGAAGTATAAATCAGAGAGGAAAAAGATCCGAATTTTTAAAGAGAGGCCAAGAAAAGAGCATCAATTCGAATGCTGAATTTTTCAGAAAAAATTCTCATGATGATACAATAAAAGTCATTGCAAATTTAGGCAGAATAGGAAGCAAGTTAGAGGGAGAGCAAATTGGATAGAATTGATTCTTAGTTTGAAAAGGAAACTAGAAGGTCAATACTTAGATAAAAGTATACACAGCAGTAAAGAGATTCTCTGCTGTTTGATGAAAACAATGAAGCTATCAAGAAGTAAAAAAATAAAATATAGCAAAGTATTAGTGACTTAAACCATGAGAAGAAACTTGAAGATTAGAGAATCTAAAACGAATATATTATCAACCATATAAGTGAAACCTTGAAAAGACTTGAGAATTAGAAATTAGAATAAATACGACTTAACCATACCCTATCAGTCACAGGGTTAAAAAATATGAAGAAATACGAATATGCTTTTAATAACTCTTCTAGAAAAGCAACTGAGACTCTAGCAAACGAATTCCTAGAGACCATTAAACTTAATTAAAAGAATAAGACTAGTGAAGTAGCTAGTGCAGATAATCTGTTCAAGCTTACCAAGGATTTTATGAAAGATAGAGCTGAACCAAGATCTAAGACCTATATAGGAGACAAAAACAAGAAAAATTTAAATGCAAACTTGTCATTGGATTTTCCAAGTCAAGACAACAGTTATAACTCATAAATTATTGCTGAGACCTCATGGCTGATGAACTTGTTATCTCTTTTACCAAAAACACAATAAACCAAGCATCTCATGAGGAGTATCAGAAACCTTTAATCTAAGTGATAGAAAGAGCTATTAGCTTTTGCTTATTTATTATTATGAAATATTCTTGATTATATTTGAAAACTTCAAAAACCTTTCAACTGATAACTAATTCTCAAGGGGGTTTTGGGGTTTTGGGGTTTTGGGG